AGAATCCCATATAGAAGATATCCAGACAATCTCAATAGAAGATTCTCGACACAAACCTGTAAAATTGATTCGTAGATTCAATCTTGTGACTTCAATTCTCGAATTTTCCTTGTATCAATGTTGTAGGCTTTCCTTGATTAGGTTTAGCTTACCTAATCCTCGACATCCTTTGTGCGTCACCTGATTACTGCACGTGATATATTGCGAATAATTATTAGCACAATGAAGATTTTGCGAATAAAAATTGCGAATGCGAATAACGAATATCGCTGATTACTGCGAATATTCGTATTCGCAACAGCCCTATTCGATTGAAACTGCCGTGAGTATGAAGCTTCAATTCCAGTGCAATTATTTGGTTTAAACACCAACCTCTACTGGTGGAAAGGCAAGGATGACTTTCTCTCCGTTAAGAAACTCAGAATGTGATCGATACACTGTGGATAATTCTGGCCATGCTACTCAGTACTTTGTCTATCTAGACGTGTCAAAAGAGGTCTTCAATCGTTATTTCGCCGCCTCCGACAATTATGAATTCGACAGCGACTCTTACTATCACACGGAAGAAGCAATCATCGTCAAAATAAGAACTACTGCCGTGCATGAAACGGTGCATGCTACCTTCTCTATCCGCCTTTTTGAAAAAATTGCGTGACATGAATATGAATTGGCAAGTTGAAACCAATTGGAGATGCAAGCACGAAAGCGACTAGCCGTGATAAAGAGCCCGATGAATCTTACAGACCTGTTAATCGTCCAAAAGGCCGTTCTCCCCAATGGCCAAGTGTTGTTGTTGAAGTTGCCTTTTCTGAGTCGGAGAGAAAACTGGCACACGACGCCCGCTGACTCACGAAGTCGGGAGGGATGGAGAATAATTATCACCATATACATCCACAGAGTCAGAAAAGATGATTACTTTTGAAGCCTGGGATATGGTTGCAGGGTCGGACGGCATGTATCCACACGTTACGTATCAAACTATTCTACAGACTCTATCACGAACTCCCTATACTCTTTCCAAGTGTTAAAGCCCACTTTCTCATAAAAGTTATCCAACGTCACCGAGTCTATGAAAACTCCATCAATCCCTCCTCTTCTTCTCATATCCTCCATTGCAGCACAAATCAACCCCAGCCCGATCCCTTTTCCTCTAGCATCGTCCCTGACACCAACTGCGGCTATTAATCCAGTCTTACCATTACCCTCTGTA